TCCTCCCCCCTCTCAACTAGGGAGTCTCATTTATCTCAAAGCAATCAAAAGAAAACACTTCGATTTTTAAAGTGAGAAAAGCTGCAGAAATGAAAGCCCTTTCTGGCACGAACAAGTAATATTTGAGAAATCAAAAGGAGATTCTCCAAGTTAGGGGAAGAATGAAAACAGTTCTGAATAATTTACTTTGCATAGCCCAGTTCCTGCCAAAACAGTTCCGTAAATCCCATGGTAGTTCAGATAATTTCCATTCTTAGAACAAAAAAAAGCTAGATTGAACATTAGCAACATTAATTGTGTGATATGACCTGAATGATGCAAGAACAAGTAGTTAAGTGAACCACAACATCTGCTGAATTTTTAATCACTAGTTGTTTTGCTGCAAGGCAGAAGAACATTGTATATCAGCTTCCAAGCACTGTACAGAATGGCACATTAAGACAGCAAGATTTTAACTGGCAGAAATTCAGCCTCTGTGCTACCTAAATGCCATTACTTTGCTATGAACTGCAAACATAGCAGCTTCTAAAGCAGCTTTTTTTTTTTTAATCACATGGAAAAGAGCACTATTTTCTGCACCCCAAGACACCAGTCAGCCATTTCTGAATAATTTTTTTTTAAAAGCTGACAGACATTTTCTTACCAGCCATTTATGCATCCCTCCGTAGTGTATTTTTACTCTCAAAACAGCATTATGTAGTCATGTGGCTGCCCAGCAGCAACTCACTACAAAAGAGGTAGTTCAACCTCCAATGCGTAGGAAGGTGATCAATGTAAACATTCATATTACCTCTGTACTGCAGCAAGACATGCAACTGCAACATGTTTAGGCATACCTGAGATATATTTAATCTATCTGCCTCTGATACCCATTGCAATGACACTGCAGACACCTAGCTTTTACCCTGAACTGGCTGTCCAAGTGAGTACCATTAACATGAGTTGCACAAGCCCACCCCATACCTGTACCAGCCAGTCCTGCTGTGGTTTCTCTGTGTTTGATACCCAAAATAGCTAGATTAAAACCAACCACCATGCCTACAGTGGTAAATACATCTCCAGTTATGCTCTAGGCACGACACCGCAACAGCAGGATTAGCAAGTGATACAGTAGATACTCCCCTTCCACAACAAGACAAAAAGGAAAAGTTATTTGGGGAATCAACACAAATTCCAAATACAAATCCAACAACTATACCCAGAATGTGCACTATGAGCAATTATTCCGATTCATACAAGTGGGGAAAAAATTACATTTAAAAAAAAAAAGTTTGTCACACTGGCTTTAATAGATTCTACTTTAATAAGTTAATAGAATCAAAATAGCTTAGGAAACAAAACCAGTAAAATATGGTACAAATTAAAAAACGAGCAGCCACACATACCAAAGCAGTGTTCTTGTGCCCTCCTTACTGCAGAGCTTACAAAGCTGGGAACTTGATCTCTAACCAGCAACTTTCACTAAACTAAGACCTCCTTCAAAAGCTTATATGGATGGATAGGAACATCTAGTAATACGTCCAATGACCCAATAATCCACAAAAGCCAAAAAAAAGCAGCAGACAGGGATGACAGACATGCATGCTTCCAAAGCTACATTATCTTTAATCATAGGCTTAGGATCAGTCCTATGTTTTCCTTACAGACTCAACTACTGGGTACAAGATAAGCTGCTATCTTCTCTGAAACCAGGTATCAAACCTGCAATGGGAATACTGAAATATACCCTATCTGCTGGTAATAAAGCAACCGGTGTTTGAGGATTATATTGAATTGCTTGTTTTGTTATGCTACAGGGCAGCAAGAAGTGAAAATAACACATTATGATGAATGTGTTGACACCTGGAACCTCAGGGACAGTTAGTACCTACGTTGCATTGTGCGTCTACAACACAGTATTCAACTTCACAGCACCAGAAATCAACCTTGGCACCTCTGTGCCCCAAAACCACAGCCCTTCCTGGCATGGGAACTACAGGCCAGTCTCTGTGAGCACACGCTCTCGCTGCTAGCTGCTATTCAAGCTGGCAGAGAGCTCACCAATGCCGTGGTGCACGTCCACAGCACGCTACAAGACGAGCTTCCAATTTTAAGGGACACAGAAAGATGTTTTATATGCCTATAAGAAAATTAGTTGCAGCTTAGTGCTTGACAAGTCATTCATGCCTCTTCACGATCCTTACCTAAATGGAGAAAAGATTCGAGAGAGCATTTAGCGCAAGTGAAATGTACAGAGCTTCCTCCTCAACCTCTGCTCATTCTCCAATTAAGTATGAAAGAGACAACTTAGTCATACGGAGCGTGCAAGATCATTTTAAGACACTGCTATTAAATCAAATCCCACAACTTTTCACACCTATTAAAATGGAACTTTGTCATTAGAAGGGGGGATTTTGATAAGCGCAATGCAATTAACAGACACTGCCTTTGTTACCAGGCTGCTTGTGATGAAGCCCAGGCTCCTTGACATTCCATTTCTTTCCCTCAAAGGGTCTGTGCTACAGCAAATTTATGGTTTTTAGCATGTAAGAGGAGAATTGGGCATGTTACCTTCAAAACCAGTCAATAAGGCTCTTTCACTCAGGCCCAGGGAAGGAGGGTGGCTGCTGGAAAGCAATACAAGGCACTCCCTTCCCCCTCCCCTCAGGACCCAAAAACGCTGCATTCAAAACACTCCCATCCCCTGCAGCAAGGGATTAGCCATTTATTAAAAAGGAATCAAAACACTGTAAAAAGCTTCCAGTTAAGATTTCAAGAAAAAAAAAAAACAACAAACAAAAAAAATGCAACACTGGTGCAACTGGAGTGGCATTAGAAATTCTTCTGGGCACTGAAGAACAAGTAGCTCAAACGTAAGCAGGATGTCATTTGTCTGGACGATGCTGATGAAATGGCTCAAAAGGAGAACAGAACTAGATTATTTTTTTTAGTCAGTCATTCTGCTGCCTCCGCGTTAAGCAATAACAACATCAACAACCTACAGGCATCTACAGATTTAGACTTTGGACTTCCAAAACAACTGCCTACCTCCATGCTTTTTTTTATTTTTTGGCTCTTCTCTAGGGGTGACAGACAATTATAATGGCCAATTATGTAAAACCTTTCATCCGAGAAAACACGAAGCACTACGCAAACACTCATTAAGACTCGCGACTCGAGTCTGCGCTGGGCGCTTAGCCGGTTCAAAGCTAGCCTGGATATCGCGAGCTACCAAAACTGGATACCGAGAGCTATGGCATAGCCAAGATAGCATGCAGCGCAGCAGGGTTAACCACTTGAGTATTTACACAGCTTCGCAGGCGGGTTTTACAGCCCACAACGAACCCCGAGCCGCTGCGGCTGTGCTTTACAGCCCCATCCAAGCCGGTTATTTAAAAGCAGAGCAGAGAGACATACACTGCTGTTGGGCGTTGTACAAAGCACCTCGCAGGACAAGCGTTAGACCCACTTCTCTGGCTGATAAAGGGTGATTTTTTCCAACTGGAAGCCACACGGTGCAACTCAATAACCTCAGTTTACTGAAGAAATTAAAAGCTACTCTTATTGTTTCAAGTAAGGCCTTGGAGGAAGTAATTTTGAGAAGAAATCACTTCCACTGTAATTGTACTTTTAACCTTTCCTTAGGTTCTTACACCATCCCCACGCGAACACATTATTAGCAATGTTATCTACAATATCTCATAACAATTAAGGCTTTCTTCTTGGATCACTGTTTATGTTTACTGAGCTTCACAATCCTTCCCCCTAAAAGGCTGATAGATGTATGAAACACAGGGTAAGTCGTACAGAAAAACACGATCAGGAAGTGACAGTACTCAGAAGATCAAGATTTGGGGAAAAATACATGGATTTTTTTTGGCTTGCTGTTTTTTTGTTTGGTTGTTTTTTTCAATAAAGGAAAACCCTGCATGCTTGCCTGCAGGTCCACGAAGAGACCGCGACCTGCAAGAAAGCAGGGCAGCTCCGGACACCCCCCGCGACCCCGTCGCGCTGCCCGCAGTCACGCGTGGGTCGGCCGCGTTATGCAACCGCTGGGAAGGAGAGATGCTCCGCGACCCCCACGCCTGACCCCGGCCGTCAGGAGGAGACGGGACCCGGCACCCACGGAGGGATCTTTTCCCCCGGGCCCCCCCCCCCTTCCCTCCCTCCCACCGCCGCCGCGGGCTCACGCTGTCAGGCGGGAAGGCCACGGGAGCGCTGCCAGCGGAGCCGGGGAAGGGGCACAACGGGGAAACCGTAATAAACCCCCTCCCGGGGAGGCGGCCGCCTCCGACAGCGCGGTGCCCCCGGCACGGCAGAAGGGTGCCGGCGCTGAGGGGAGCACCGGGAATCAAATCAAATCAAATCAAATCAACCCGAGAGGGGGGCGGCCGTCTCGCCGCACCGGGGGAAACGAGGAGGCCCGGTGCCCTCTCCACGGGGCCCGGCGCCGCGCAGCTCCGTCCGGCGAG